TCCTTTGTTATTCTTGTTCTTTTCTTTTCATATAATTGAGAAAGTACGAAATTTCTTGGTTATCAGTAACCTGAGTACTTCCAAAAATAGGCTTTGACCGAAAGATACATTTTTTGGTTAAACAAATTGGTTTTGTTACCGGGAATCTGATAATCTTTTCACTTTCCAAATCCATTTTTCTGTCAAAAAATCATGTCGACTGTCAACGACAACAACCAACAAAACCAACTGAACCAACAGAATCAATAAGAGGATAAAACTACAATCCCTTCACCCTTAAATTCTCCTCAACACTCTTGAGAAGGGTCACCTAAAAGATCAACATCATATGTGAATAACCAATAAGGGGACGATCAAACTACTGAAGATGCATTGAAGCAACTAATTGCAAAACACGTCAACAATGCTCTCCAAGCTTTTGTTAGTGGATTGCCAACTGTATTACCAACACCTCCAAATAACACCGCAACCATAGAGAACCTACGCTCGGGACTTGCTAATTCTGGCAGTAGAGGAACTCCCAGCGAATCTTGCGATGGAAGGTCAGGTACTCCAAATAATTCTTATTTACAAAGTTTAGTACTAACTTTGCAGAAACAACTCAAGGTGCAGAACGATCGCATAAATCAGATACCTGGTGTGCCACCCGTGATTAAAGGAGTGGATATTGCTAAATATTCTCAACAGCCCTAGAAGCCAAGTGTCGCTCCCTTGCCAATTCCAAAAAAGTTTAAGATGCCCGATATTCCAAAGTATGATGGGACAACCGACCCACGAGATCATGTAACTACATTTACAACTGGCGTAAAAGGTACCGACTTGATGAAGCAAGAAATTGAGTCAGTGCTGGTCAAAAAATTTGGCGAAACACTCATAAAAGGAGCACTAACATGGTATTCTCTTTACCAGAAAATTTTATTGATTCTTTTGCTGAGCTTGCAGATTCATTTTTAAAAGCACACTCGGGAGATCAAAAAGTTGAAAAGAGGATGGAAGACATCTTCAAAATAAAACAAGGAGATATGGAGCTACTCAGGGAATTTGTTGATAGATTTCAGCGTGAAAGGATGATGTTACCTCGTGTATCGGATAATTAGGCGGTCATGGAGTTTGCAAGTAACTTAAATGAATAAAGCTCAGAAGCCACGAGGAGACTCAAAGAAAGCTTACGAGAATTCCCTCCAACAACTTGGAATGATGTTTACAACAGATATAGCTTGAAGATGCAGATAGAAGAAGATACTATCACTCAGTCACGGGGAGATGAAAGAACAAGTTCGAGGCGACCAGAAACTGAAAAAAGGTCCAATAAGAACAGGTACAAACCTTACATGGGACCAGCAGGAAGCGATTCACGTTCTAAACACAAGAACCCGAGGTACGCTTCTAAATCAAGGGATAGAGATGCGGGTTCGCCATCCAAGTTTGGAAAGGAGCGAGATATGCGGGACAACAACATTAGTACAAAGGCAAAGATTGGTGATTACAGTTTCAATGTTATCACATCTGAGTTGGTAGCTGTTTTAAGGAGTATGGGAGATAAGGTGCGGTGACCAAAAGAAATGAGATCGAACCCCAGCAGAAGAAACCCAGATTTCTGATGCGAGTTTCATAATGATCACAGTCATAAAACAGCAGATTGAAGATTGCTACAAGGTGAAGTAGAGCACTTGTTAAACCAAGTCTATTTAACCGATATGTTAGTGAGAAGGGTAAGCAAGCATATATGAAGAATAGACAAAAGTCACCAAAACCTCCATTACCAAAAAGAACGGTTAACATGATAAGCGGAGGAGAGGAGGTCAACGGTGTGACATATACGGCTGCAAAAAAGATGGCAAAAGTCACAGTTACCCACGGAAAGGGAGTTCACAAGTTCTGGAAGAAGACAGTATAGCGTTTGATGATGCAAATGCAGATGGTGTGATGATCCCACATAATCATGCACTGGTAATACCTTTACTTGTACATGATACTAATGTGAAACGAGTTTTGATTGATCCAGGTAGCTCTGTAAATATCATTCTTTTAAGAGTGGTAAACGAGATGCAAGCTGATGATAAATTTATACCCAAAGCATGTACCTTATCTAGATTTGACAATTCAAGCATTGTTATAAAAGGAGAGATAGTACTCACCATATTCGCAGAAGGAGTAGTCAAAGATACGAAATTTCAAGTGATAGATATGGACATGACATACAATATGATTCTCGATGGACCTTGGATTCACGAGATAGATGTTGTTCCGTCTACTCTACATCAGGTTATTAAGTTCCCTTCGCAATGGGGAATTAGACAAATCCGTGGTGATCAACAGGCTTCTAGAAGCATCAGCTCAGTGGCGAATTCAAGCATAAAAACGACGTCGCAGAAGAAAAATAGCAATTACAGAATTCAGTTGAGGATTTAACAACACAAACCTCAACAGGAGATGGAAAAACGAATGTAGACTCAAGGCCTGATACTATTCAAGAGCCAGAAGAGAACGAAATCATCAAAACAACAATTGAAGAACTCGAAGTGGTAGTGTTGTTTATACATTGGTCGGACAGAAAAGTTTACATCGGAACCAACCTAAGCCCAGAGATAAAAGATAAGTTAATTGAATTCTTAAAAGCTAACGCAGACTACTTTGCTTGGTTGCATTCAGATATGACAAGTATACCACCGGAGGTGATGACCCATAAGCTTAATGAATATCCAACGTATCCACCTGTTAAACAGAAGAAAATGAAGCAAGGATCCTTAAAAAACCAGGTAATTCAGGATGAGATACAAAAGCTTTTAAAAATCAGGTCTATCCGAGAGGTAAAATATCCTAATTGGCTAGCTAATACTATAGTAGTCCCCAAAAGGAATGGTAAATGGTGAGTTTGTATAGACTATACTGACTTGAATAAAGCTTGCCCTAAAGATTCTTTTCCTTTATCGCACATAGATCAACTAATTGATGCTACTGAAGGACATGAATTGTTGAGTTTTTTAGATGCCTATTCAGGATATAATCATATAAAAATGGATCCTTTAGATGAGGAAAAACTTCCTTTATTACAGACAGGAGGACTTACTGTTATAAAGTCATGCCTTTTAGCTTAAAGAATGCTGGAGCAACGTACCATAGGTTAGTAACGAAGATGTTTCAAGAGCATCTGGAAAAAAGTATTAAAGTCTATATCGATGACATGCTAGTCAAGTAAACACAGGCGGGGGATCACATCCAACATTTGTCAAATACATTTCAAATTCTCTGCAAATTCAATATGAAGTTAAATCCCGAAAAGTGTTTATTTAGCGTGTCTTCAGGTAAGTTTTTGGGTTTCCTTGTTTCTAACCAAGGAATTGAAGTAAATCCAGCACAGATTAAAGTCATAGAAGAAATAACTTATATACTCACGAGTAAAAAAAAGGTGCAGAGGTTGACAGGTAGGATAGCAACATAAGGAAGGTTTATTTCTAAATCTTCGGAGAAAAGTTTTAAGTTCTTTTCAGTGTTAAAAAATCAAAGCCAATTTGAGTGGACTAAGAATGCCAACAAGCATTCAAAAATCTAAAAACGTACTTATCAAATCCATCGTTGTTGGCCAAATCGAAGGATGGAGAAAGGCTACTCATCTATCTCGTTGTGTCATAAATGCCGGTAAGTGCAGTGTTAATTTGAGAAGACAAAGGTAAACAATCTCCAATTTATTATGTTAGCAAGTCTTTATTGGATGTTGAAACTTGATATCCTCATTTAGAAAAACTTGCTTTAGCACTATATGTATATTTTATATATAATATGTGTATAATCTTATATCGTTATCATATATTTTATGTATATGCCTAGAAAAATAAATAGTTAATTCGATCAGCTATTTGGGTAAAAATTCTTTTCAAATTAGCCCATTATGGCGGGGGCAAGGTTTCGATTTTGAATCAAAAGGGATTTCATCTGATCCAACTATTACTGGCTCAGGTCTTGTCACCAAGCAGATGGACTTTAAGTCTTGTATTTTTGGTTCACAAAGACTTTATAGGATTGGAACAAAAAGAATAAAACATTTTATATAAATAATTATATACTCTACATTAAAAAAATATCCATTTAGTATAATAACAATTACGCTCAATCCAATCAAATTGAGATCGGTTGTATAAATCATCATTGTCTTATTTAAGCTCAACTAAAGTTTTATTCAACCAGCCAACTGTAAATCTCCTCCTTTATCTACTTGATAATTTAATTAAAAACTGACATAAAGAGTGTGATGGGATGAATGATATTACTCTATCTTTAATAAGATATCTCGAGTTTGAACCTAAGAGTGAAAAAACTCTTGATGAAGAGCACTTTCCCCACAAAAGAATCATACACGGCAAAGATGTGGATATCATTTTTATACATATATATACTTATGCACTCTATGATATCGGGTATCCGTCAGAATTTAACGACATAATTCGGCTACAAATAATATTTCTCAATATTGACCATTAGTATTTGCGAATTTCGAACTTCACTTTTGAAAGACTGATAAAATATTGAAAACTTTGTTCGAAGAGTATTTCAAGTAAAATAATACTTACTAATTTGAATGCAGGTTAAAGAATTGTTTTGTGAAAATGGTTGAAGGGGGGATGAATATAAAATTTTACGATTTGCAGTATTTCTATTAGTATAAGATAGGAGGCTGATTGATTAATTTGACATTTCGATTTGCAGTATTCATTGGACTTTCATAGGGCTTTTGTTGATTAGACGAAGCTCTAGTTCTTATTCTTTAGGGTGTTTCGTCTAGTCTTCCCAGTAGTATTAGTACCGGTCTTGTATTTTACTATTCCTACCCCTTGATATTTCACATTGTTTCATTATTTTCGGCGAGATTGGCTATATTCTTATAGTGTCGTATTAAATTTGGAACAACTAAACCAGCCAGCCAAGTTAACAATGAAGAACAACACAAAACATAAGGCATTCCTGTTTTCTGTACAGCTTCATGCATTCATATACCAATGAAATGAACAAGGAGATTGCAACATCTCGAATAAATTTCTCACATAAAGAGCTTAATGGTTCCGAATGATGATAAAAGAAAGTCAATCCTCAGGCGACAGAAAAAAGAAAAATTTTACAATCTAAAAGGAAAATGAAGTCAGCTACGAAATACCATTCTAGACATCTACTCAAACATTACAGCAACAACCTAAATCGGGACTTCCATTTTAATTGGCGCGTGTAAAGTATCTACTGATGCATTCTGAAGCCAGTCCTTGGCACAGATGAGGGCCTCCACGGTTTCAGGTCGCAAGGAACACCTGTACTGATCCATCTCTTTGCCTACCGTGCAAAATACAGAATCAGCTGTTACGGTTGAAACTGGAACTGATAAGATATCACGAGCCATTTTCGATAGAGTAGGGTACTTCATTCTGTTCAGTTTCCACCACCCCACAACATCAAACTCGTGAACACGAGGCAATAAGGATTCTTCCAAATATTGATCAAGTTCTGACCTTGACTGCTGGCTTGTTGTCTCCATAATGTAGGCATCAAAATCTGTAAGTCCGGCCCCATTACTAGAGGCACCGAGGTCTTGGGCGTTCTCCTGCTTTATATCCCCGCCATTTGCCTCTTCAGCATAAGTTGGGGTCAGAGGCAGAGGAAGTGCCACATATTCAAGAAAGAGCTCGTGGATTCCCTCTTCAACAATCTTCACATAGGTAGCAGCTTCTTCCCCGTATATTTTCGTAAAACTGAATTCAACGAGTTTCATTTTGAAGCGTGGATCCATTACTACGGAAATCGCTAACATCAGACAACAACTCTTCCAGTATTTATCAAACTTCTCTTGCATCGTTTTGGTAAGGCTGCTGATGGATGGATCTTCACTTGCTGCAGCACGAGCCAGTTCCAATTGAATCTTCCACGCTTCATGGAAGAATGTATTGGTTGTTGGAATTGTTGGTGCGGTCAGAAGATTGGCAGTGTCGAAGAGGATTTTCAAGTAAGTACACAGAATCTCAACTTGCTTCCAATCTTCAACAGATGGGGCATCCTTGTAATCAGGGTCAGATGTATCCAAGCACGAAAATACTTCCTTTAGCTCTGACGCAGCCAACAACATCTCATATGTTGTGTTCCATTGTGTTCGGTCATCAAGCACCAACGTCTTTGTGCTTGGCACCTGAAGCTGCTGTTTGAGTTCAATAAACTTTTCCTCATGAGATTCTGATGTTTTCACATACTTTATGCTATCTCTTACTTTCTTAACAGTTCCATGCAAAAAATGAAACGCATCTTGCGCAATGCTGCTCAAAGTTCGAGCAAGACAATTTCCGACCACCAACTGGCCATTGAGCACAAGAGGGTTCTTCACTGAGAGTAAAGCTCTAAGATTATCAACAGCTGCATCACTGATTGGATGATTAATAGTGACAGAAAATAACTTCCCCTCCATACTCCAGTCAGAAAGGCAAGCGGCAACAGCGTGGCTGAAAGCCGTGTCAGAATCTGGATATGGTTCCATGATGACATTGAGTATTTTCCTGTGAATTTTCCACTCACTGTCAATATACTGCCCAGTTATGAACACATAGCCGACAGTGTAGCAGGAGGACCACATATCAAGTGTTAAGCAGATTCGCCCAGGCACTCCCCCAATCACTTTCTGAATGGCTTGCTTCTCTCTAAGATAAGTTGCCACACAATCTCCTTGCACGGTGTTGAAGCTCACCATATCAAAACGAGGTTGAAGATGCTGGACAAAAGTAAGAAAGCCTGGATGCTCAACCATGTGAAGAGGATAGTCGTGCATGATGATCATCCTAGAGATCTCCTGGCGGCACCGGTCTGGATCAAAAGCAAGGTAAGGAGAAGAAGCAGTCCGATAACGTCGTTTTGGTGCATCGTTACTACCCCCATATCCACTCATCTTAGAAGGTGTATTATATGGGCTGGATTGATTATTCTGTTGGTTACGTAGGACAACTGGACAGGCTCCTTTTGCAATATGGCGTTTCAGGTGACTAGTGCCTGCTACTTTTGAACCTGTACTATATGCAAATGATTGCTTGCACTGCTTACAGCATGCCCTTCTAGTTCCAGCACCAACGTTTTCAATGGTGAAGTGTTCCCAAACTATTGACTTCTTTTTCCTACGCTTGCTGGGTTGTGTTTCTAGATCGTTTGGAGGTGTTTCGATATAGTTGGGTTGTTCCGCAAGGACCATCTCATTTAGTGGGATCATCTCATTGTCTGGAACCATTTCATCACCAGGGACTATCTCATTGCCAAGCACTATGTGATGTTCATGTGTCATCTCATGTTCCTGCACCATCTCATGATTATGTTCATGCATCATCTCATTTACCGGCACCAACTCATGATTATGTCCATGTATCATCTCATTTTCCGGCACCACCTCATGACTATGTTCATGTATCATCTCATTTTCCGGCACCATCTCATGACTATGTTCATGTATCATCTCATCGTCCGGCACCATCTCATTGCTATGTTCATGTACAATCTCATTTTTCAGCACGATCTCATGATTCTCAGTGGGGGTTGCTGGTGTAACAGGGGTTTCTGGTGTCGCCATCAGAGACCAGAAACTCAAGGCTATAGGAAGCAAAACAATTATCAATTATCTGTATAATATAATGATAAAAAGGGAGAAAGAAAAAGAAAATCATACGCATAGCAGAACTGAAGAAAAAGAAGTGCGAATAAAAAAATAAAATAAAAAAGCCTGAAGGTAGCTATACGTGTGTGTACATCTACATATATTTTCTTTTTGAAGAAGTAAGGTGTTTCATTATAAAAAACATCAAGAAGATGAAAAGTTACAAAGGGCATAGTTACATGTGTGTGTACATTTTCTGTGATAAGTCTAACGAAACTAAGATTCGTTTGTACTAGAAGAATCAATATGGATATACTGATGGGTCATATAACATTGCTAGTTATGGAATTCAAGATCTCTTTGACTGTGGTATGTGGTGTGCGTCACCTGAGAACTTGTGGAAGAAGGGTAATTCTTATAGTGGCCATTATAGGGCTACAAAAATATCAACCAAAAAAAAAAATGAGAACCAATCACATCCATTCAAAAGCGCTACAAAAGTAATCAACTTTTACTATGAGCATGTTCAGATTAATGAGAAACAGGAAACTTAAATATTTTTCTTTTTTTCGTTTTTAATACACAACTGACACTTCAACTAGCATACTCCCAAGTAAACACTTATACTTGCTAAAGTACACCCAGTAAATATTTCTAACCGTTGATTATGCTTTACGCAGTATTTGAATCTTTCAACCAAGAGATTCAGTATGGTATTGCAGCCTATGGTCATTGGTAAGATTTTAATCCTGCACCTAACGAATGCATCGTGGAGTTACAACTACTAGGCTGCAACTTCATCACTGCAGAGCAGGCATAGTATTCACTCTTTGGACTAATAGAACAGGAGGCCCAAAACTTTAGCCAACAAAATGCATGAAATTAGCTCCTCAGAGCTGAAGAATACTGTCCATTGGCACACCTTGGAGGGACCAAACTTAACTCCAAGGCCCGGCCTGGCTCGAACTCATCCTGTCCATTGGCACACCTGGAGGGACCAAACTTAACTCCATTAGGGCCAGCCCGGCCCGACTCGTCCCTAAACTAAGCTGACTCAAAGTTTAATAGTAGTAATACTGGGAAATTTTCACAAATAGCCAACTTTTAGCTCCTATAATTGAAAAATATCCACTGTCCTACAGTTTCAAATTCCACAAGTGTAATCATGGAGTTCCACTAATAAAATTTGGAACTCCAAGACAATGGCTATTTTTCTAAGACAATGCCGAAAAGGCGAAAAGTGGTCAATAGACGCTATTTCTACTAGTAATACCCCTACTAAGTAGGCGTTTGGACATAAAAAATAAAAATAAAAAAAGGTGAGATTTGGAAAAAAAATAGTATTTTAAGTCCAGTTGAAAAAGTATTTGAAAATTGAAGTTGTGTTTGGACATGCAGTTTTGTGAGAGAAAAACATTGTTTACTTGAAAAAGAGGCAAAAATCACTTTTTCAAAATTAAAACTCATTTTCAAATTTTTTTGAAACTCATCTTCAAAAATTAAGTTAAATATATCACCAAAAACTGGTTTGAAAATATTTTTCGGAAAAAAGGAAGAAAAAAAACTATTTCTAAACAGCTCCTAAGGCAACACGGAGGGTATTACCACCAAAGGATGTGGTGCAGCGGCTGAGACTACTCTTTCCTTAACCAGATGTCTCGGGTTCGAGCCCCAGTATGGAAAAATCCTTGGTAGGGAACGCTTCCCTCTAATGGGGGCCTACGCGGTGCGAATCCGGATATAGTCAGGCTCCAAAGTGGGTACCGGGCACCGGTGGTAAAACCAAAAAAAAAAAAAAAAAAAAAAGGAGGGTATTATTCTATTTTGAAGAAAATAAGGGTTAAAAAGGACATTTCCCAATACAAGGGCTAACAAGTATACAAACATAAACTTACTAGATCTAACTCATAAAATGGATCAAACATGGGCTTTAACACAAATCTAAACAAAGCCCATATCACACACTCTTACTAACAACTGATCTATTTCAAGAACCATTTCATAGTCAGCCTTCAAATTTCAAAACAACCTTCAACTTAAAGCCCAGAACAACAAGTAAACTATAAAACTCCTTTTTTCAAAATATCAGCAAAAAGTTAAATAAACCTGAAATAAGTCAAACTTTAGTGAACTACCATAAAACAAGCAGAAAATTGATATTGAAACAAAAATATTACAACAACAAAATACTTTAAAAAAATATTTTAACCATGGAACACAGTATATAGCGCACATTTACACCAAAACATAAACATAAAACTAACAGAAATATCAGAGACCGATCTTCACACTAAGACAATAAAGCATTAAAAATATATCTAAAAAAGGAAAAATAGATCAAATCTGGAATGAACAAAAGGAAAATAAGTGAGAAAAATATTTAAAAAAAGGTACTATACCTGAAGAAAAAAACTGATTTTGAGTGAAACCCAAATATCAGAATTCGATTTTGAGCAAAACCCACATACCAAAATTCGATTTTGAGCAAAACCCAGATAACAAAATTCGATATTGAGCAAAACCCAGATGAGAAAATTCAATTTTGAGCAAAACCCAGATAACAAAAAATTCGATTTTGAGCAAAACCCAGATGCCAAAATTCGATTTTGAGCAAAACCCAGATAATAAAATGGAGCTTACCGGGATTTTCAGGCTCCGATAGTGAACCAGATCTAGGGTTTCAGCCGGAGAGGGAGAGAGGAGAGAGAAAGAGACAGGAGAGAGAAAGAGAATTGGGCTTGAACCCGGTAAAACCAAACTGGACCTTTGTTATGATATTTTTGGGGTCGTATTAGACTATTAAGTGATAAGGTTCATTGACAAGAAAACCAAAAACATTAAAATTGTAGTATTGGATATGGACTTTCTTTTTAGGTCCATTTATTATTGTTATGACTTGTGACTATGTGAAATTGAAGGTGTGTGTGTTTTGGGTCACACCCCTTTCTTTGGTCAAGTGGTTTGATGTGTATTAGTATATGGTTGTCATGGACCATAGCCCACTTTTTATGGTATTTTTGGTGATTTTGTGTGGACTATATTTAAGATGGGGCCTACATTGGCTAAAATTGGAATTGGGGAAAATGGGGTTTTTTTATTTAAGTAGAATTTTGAAATTTAGCCCATTATAAGTAAAAGGGATAACATCTATTTCAAGTCCTTCACCAAGAAAATAGACCTTATTTCAAATTACCTTTTCCTAAACCAGAGATACACGTCACCCAATATTGAGAAAAAAAATTGCAAATGTTAGAAACTAATTGTTTTTAAACATTATAAATTAGCACGGCGTGACCCCAAACGGATGGTCATGGCGGAATATTCCTATTTTTTACGGTCTTAGCAAAGTGTCCCTCTTTTTTACTTGAACACTATAGTTCTTTAATTTTTAAAGCATGAATTCTTATTTGGTGGTGAAAAATAAAAGTTAATAATCGATTATTGTTAAAATCATTTAAATGTTGATAATTTGTGCATAACTTTTAGTTTAAACATAGATTTTGGTGATTAGAAGCTTGGTTTCAAATTTGAGATTATTTGGAGCAGATTTGGCGTGATTTGATCGAAATTGAAGTTGCGTATTCGAAAAATACTTTGTTAAAATAACCCCAAAAAAGTATATTAATCTGGTAGACTTCGATGAACAACTTAACAGATAGGTTTAAAAAAAATATAACATCAACTCTACCAACCCGGTAGAGAAATACTTGAAGAACGGAAGTATGTAATTTAATAGACTTCAATGAACAACTTAATATATAGGTAGAGAAAATATAACATCAACTCTACCAACCCCGGTAGAGAAATACTTGAAGAGCAGAAGTGTAACACCCCGAAAATTTTTGAAGTGTTCTAAGACCATTAAGAAGATTGACGGGTGCAAATTGTATTAATTCGGGTATGAACAGGACTAATAATATGAAGGACATTAGTTGATCATGATAATATATGTATGAGGTACATTAAGAATGGTTTATGGTCTAAGAAGAGCCCTAAGGCTAAGTAAAGTTGGGAACTATATGATAGGTTAAAGCTTCGAATGGGTTTGCACAAGATTTAATTTCAAACGAGCATAAATCCCTATGTATGAAGATTTATGTGGTTTAAGACCTATCAAATTAAGGATCTATGAGTATAGTTTCAATGCTTCAAACCTTTCATCATTTGAATATTCCTACAATATGTTATGATCTTTTTACTCAAGGGTATCACAACAGCCATGTAGCTACGCGAGCTGTGTGTACCTACGCTACCTTAGGCATAGCTGATTTCAGCAAAGTATTCAAATGAAGGGGATGTGAAGAGGAAGGGAGCGTAGCTACGCTGGAGATGTGCATAGCTACGTGTGTAATCAAAATTATAAAAGTAAATATTTTAGGGAGAGAGAAATAGATGGAATTTTGGACAAGGGTCTTCAAAAATTATCAAAAATCTCTAGGAAATGTATTGAATCTTCAAGAACATCAAAAAGAGGAAAAGTAAGACTCTTCCACAAAGAGATAATTCCTTTATTTGAGCTTCACACATATAATATATTGAAGTATATGTAGTATGTTTATGAGTTGTTTTTAAAGTTGTAACGGGATATTGTATGAACCCTAAGGGCGGGTCTTAAAAATAATATTTTAGGCAAGGAAGAAGATGAATAGTAATGAATTGATATAAATGGATATGTCTTGAGTTTTTAACGATTCCTATAGACTTGATAAATTAATTGATGAATGAATTGAATCGAGAATCACCATCTGGATAAAATACAACACTAGTTCTTGAATATAGGGTTTTGTTGGAGTAGACAATGAATAATGACTTGTTGATGTTGGGTAATTAACATAGTATCATTAATGACTCCAAATGAGTACTAAATGTTAAGATGGAGTTGAATAGGCTAATGGGTGAACCTATTGGATAATTTGGGATGGTTGAAGGCTTGTTGCCGAATTGTGAAGCCTAAATGGATATTTATGAATCTTTTCATATTTATTTTGATGTAGTTAGGATATCTAATGATAGATATTGAATTGTGGGTGATATTTGGGCATTTTAATCAATCGAAGCATTATAGTATTTTTGGAGTCTGACGGTTGAGGTAAGTGGATTATGACTTACTCTTCTTGAGGGATTCACCCTAAAAACATGATTTGTTAATACATGATATTACTTATAAATATGCATTTGTACTTGTGGGGACAAGCGAGAAAGATATCACCATGTGTTCCTAAGTTTGTTGATTTGAAGTGTCATGTAATTTTATATAAAAATCTTATTTTTAAAACATATTTGCAAGATGACACTTAACGAAAACGTTATAAGTTTTATTAAAACTTATGTGTTGATAAGAGTATAAACTATTTGAGTACTAAAGATACGTTTTCATGAATAATTTCGAGTTTTGAAATTTGATCAATGGAGTAGCACTTGTTGGATCCTTTAAAGATTGATGTTATAGTGTTAAAAGCATTAAATTGAATTCATTTGATTTTGTTCAAATGGTTTGGATTGACTATAAAATTATGATTTGATAAAAATAGATCATTTGAGGCTATTAAGCTATGAATCTATTTTTGTTATTAAAATATTTTGGGAGTACTAGTGGAGACCAACGAGATTGGTTCGAAAATTGAGTTCGTTACCATGGAATTATATGTACCGGTGTAGGGACGCATTTCAAAGTTAAGCCGAGGTTTGTGGGATAAAGTTCCCCTATTGGGAGGGCAAATTATCATTACTTAAAGTAATGAGGTTAAGTTGACTCGTACGACAGTACGGGAAGCCGCCCAGACGAGTAGGGTCAAACACTTGTTGCTAGGTCGATCACCTGGTAGTTGTTTATTATGTCGGTATCGGTATAGTACTCTCACTGAAAGATAAAGAAGATTTTCGTATGTTTAGGCCTAAGGATCCGAAAGTGATTTTGATGACTTAAAGAAATTGAAATGGTTTTGTATGATTTTATTAAAAATCCTGAATTGATACAAATGTTCTAAGAAGTTATATTATGGTTTATGCTTCACTTGTTTTTTCATTTGAAATGATAAAGAGCATGATTTATATAATTATTTATCACCTTATATCAAATATTTGTTGCATAGCTTTTGTAAAATCTTGTCTCAGGAATTTAAGTTAGAGAGAGTCTATGCCACTTATTGAGTACCTTTGTGGTGTAGTCAGTCCTTAGGGGCCCCTCTCCAGGGCCCCACTTACTTTTCATATTTCAAGATAAGGTATGATATGTGGCATGCAGACATGACTAGGATGACTCTCTTCCTGAGGTACATGGTGAGGCACTACTCTTATTTTGTGGTAACTATCATGTTATTTTCTTAATTTATGTTAGTCGGGCATTAACCCAAGTGTTTAGTTATATTCTTTAGTATAGAGGCTCCATAGATAGTTGTGAAAAGTTGTAGTAAATGAGTTGTACACGACATACATGAAAATATATTTATTTTACTTAGTCTCATTGTTATTGTTATGAAAGACTTCATGTATGATTCTGAATTAGAAAACTTTCCATCGTTTAGCTTGAAATATATATATTTTTAATGAGCTTCCGCAGTTAAATTGGTTTTTATGCATAGGATTTGGGTGCATCATATGGGTTGGTTCGCTTAGATCTCTTAGTTAGACTTGAATGAACAACTTAACTTATAGGTAGAGTAATAATAGTGTCAACTCTACCAATTCGATAGAAAAATTTTAAAGAGCAAAAGTATGACAATTCGATAAATTTCAATGAACAATTTAATCCGGTAAAAAGCCATTGAAAAGCTGTCTGCCGTTTCAGAACCATTTTTTAAATATCGCTAATTTTTTGGACATTCCGCTAAGATCAGCCCCTAAAATTCCACTTTGTGTCAATCAACCTTTAAACATGGTCACGAGGTTAAAATGACATACAGAATAATTTCTATGCTTTTTGACACACTTAATGTAATTCGGCTTATTTGGTAAGTTCTAACTAAAATGTTGCCACTATTTAAGTATTTCTTTTTCTAATTTATTGATGCATGCTTAAGCAGGGGCGGAGCTACAGTGCTAGAACAGATTCGGTCGAATTTAGTAGCTTTAGTTCGAACTCTATATTTATTTTAAAAAATTCATTGAATACATATAAATTATTAATTTAGAATCCAATAACTTAGCGTGATTAAAATCTCAAACCCATAAGCTTGAAATGGTTGCTCCACCTCTGTGCTTAGGGTACAATTTTCAAATGACTTGATTATGTTAGACCTTCAAAGATAAAATATAAATTATAAAATCTAGTATATAGAGTTTTCACAATTTTTTTTTTGAAAAAAGTAAACTATGTACTCCCTCCGTTCACTTTTACTTTGCACGTTTTGAATTTTCGCGTCCCTTAAGAAATAATAAATGAAGTGCATAATTTACTATGATACTCATATTAATTGATGCATATTTTATTGGATTTGAGAAAATAATTTGAAATAAGTAATAAATACTGTGGATATAACAGGAAAAAAATTATCTTCTCTTGATATGCGTAAAATGATAAGTAAAAATAAAAATTTATTTTTAGTATACATACCAAGTAAAAGTGAACGGAAGGAGTAGTATTTTATGAGTTGATTAATGTAAATCCTCACGTAATGTCTGTAATATATTTAC